GTCAACCAAAGTTTAGTAGAGAATCAACAAACGTTTTTTATATCTCGTTTCAAACAAATAAACTAAAGTTAGGGGTACGTGTTTGATATTGTATAAACTTGTTATACTGATGCGAGACGAAATGCTCGGTTTAGAAAAACGAATTTTGCTCAAAACCTTTGTTGATTCTCTGATAAACTAAGTGAAAGAATTGAAAGAGTGAAAACTTTTGAGATAATTGACTTTTCCGAATGACACAAAAAATAAGGAGTTGCCGCTACTGATAGAGCAATTATCGCAATCAGTTCTTCCAATTGATTGCATCCAAAATCTCCGATTTGGTAGGGTAGTTTACGAGAAAAGTCAGAAAGTTTCAAAAAATGGTGAAAATATCAAAACTTTGATTTTTCTGAGGACCATAACTTTTGCTGTCAAAAAATGTGGACATTGTTACTTAAATAAATGAGCTTCCCACAACCCGATATTCGAATTAAACGCAAAATACCAGATATTGCTGGTTAGTTTTTGAGAGTTTTGTGTTCGGGCAGTTTTTGTGTATCAAAAAATGAATCTCAACACATCGATTGGTAAGCAAACAATCAATTCAAAAAGTGCGGAGGTGAGCGTAAAACTTGTGTTTCCCTTGAAACAGCCCAAAATGTAGTCACTAAGTTGATAGAAAATGGGCCGAATCATTTTAGGCCGAGGAATTTTTTTAACAGAATGAACAAGAACAAAGACGGAAATACGAAGTCAAGGTTGAGGAAATTACAAATTGTAGGAGTAAATCAAACATTTGAAGAAACACTAAGAAATGCACGCAGCAAAAAAGAACATTCCAAGATGTGAGAAACAAGCTGAAAAAACATAGGCAGACAAGTATTTGTCCAACAATTTAATTTAACAGAAGTTTTCTAGTTCAAAAAAAGGTCAGATTTGAACCCGGGATCTTTGCCGTTCCAGGCGTATTCGCTTCCTCCAGTCTAAGTTAGCCGGGAACGCTAAGAAACTTGAATACATATTGAAACAAGTTACCTCTAGAGATGAGTCCAGAAGAGTCCTGTGAACAAAGTTATTTAAGGGAAAAAGCCTAATACCCGATTGCAATACCCTTGCTTATCGCAAGGGTAACCAGCAAACAGTCGAGGAAGACATGGTACTATTCAACAAGAAGATGATGTTGTAGATATAGTTATCCATTAAAGTTTTCGGTTATCTTCAATTGAATTGTGATTGTAACAATATTTTTTTTATTTTTAGCAGTGTCACCCATGCTTTGATAAGAACCCAATTGTCGCCTGAAGTGAGCCCAAATTGAACAAAACTGCTTGTCATACAATTTTATTACATGGAAAAAAGCTAATCATACAATATCGTTTAATTCCATACGTAATGGAAGTTGTAAGAAAACTCAAGGATATGCATTTTTCTTTTCAATGAAAATTATTTGATAAGCGCTTTTCGATAAATCAAAAACTATGTTTTCTTCGAGTTTTGCTAAACGTTTTTCCGACGTTTTCATTTTATATGCAACGTGTTTTCATTTTATATGCATCTTTTACAAATTACCAATCATATTATCCTTTTTTGAAAATAAGTCGAAACGGAGCATCACAAAGTTTGAGGATCAAAAAAACTTAAAACAGTGGCAGCATTTTTGTCCCGAAACAACAAATTTTTGAAAAAATTTTACATTTGGAAAAGATACTCAAGGTATCAAACATTTTCGCCTTTTTTCTGTAAAACTGGAATAAAACCAGGCTCAAAACTAACACAGGTGGAAAAATGCTCATTAGAGAAAACCTTGCGAAATGATCGGAAAAGAGAAAAACTGTCCTTCAGTTCAACAGTATTCTCCTTCTTCCTAATAGTAATTAATTACAAGGTATCATTCGAAAATAACAGCAAATTTGTTGCTTTTCACTTTAAATACACGAGTTAATTGATTGTTTTCAGGGAATAGTTTAGAATTGTGATTCTGCTCAAAATTTCCTTCTCAAAATTGCACATGTACACTGGAAAACTCTCGTAAGCAAACAATCGTAAGTGAGACAGCGGGGTTGACCTCCATACGCAAAAAATGCTTAGCATACAACTCCATACAAAAAAAAGGATGTCATACATTTTCATAAACCTAAAGATTGGAAAAAAATGGTTTACTACAATTTCCATTGATGAAAAATTTGTGATACGCATTTTGAACTTTGCTTTAAAATAAAATCCATAAAAAATCCAAGTTTCAACAAATTTTTTTTCTCAATCACAATATCACTTTCATACCTAAATAAGCATTTTTCGAAGATTTTTCAAGTTTCTTATAACGTAGTCTAGGATGAAATTTTCATAGGATAGAAACAAAATTCACACAGGATTGTTGCGCAAATCAAAATTTGTGCAAAACCTGTAAGGTTTTTTGATATAATTCCTTTGTAAAAAAAACCTGACCACATTTTTCAAAAAATAATTTTTTTGGCTAAAAACTTTATGGACAAATACAAAGTTTTAAGGTTTTAATTACAGTTATGAGTGAACTACATGTATGAATACTTATGAGATTTTTTGAAAATTCTGCCCCTCAACCAATCGGTTTTTTTTGGTTGGAAAATGTTTGGTTATTGTGTATACGGACAAGACCCAAAAACTTTTAGCAAAACTCAAAAATATTTTTTTTTATTATCGAAAAATTTTTTCGAAAATGTTTGTTTTGTACAATTTTTTGTACGTATGAATTGTACAAAGTTGCATGATAAGCATTTTTACATAAACTAGCATTGTATGACAAACATTTTTGGTCAACCCTGGCAGGTTTGAACAGAGGAAGTTGAAAGATTTTGCATTTTGTTTGACATTTTCGATGCGTGCTTTGATTATGGCATCTTTTATAGAGTCACTAGGTTTCAAGTTCTTAAAAAAGATGAAAATTCCAAAATTCTGCGCAATTTATTTGAAAATTGTTTTGAGCAAAGAATTAGATTTTTATTTTGTGAAAATGACTTTTTTTGGCTATCAACCAAAAATATATAGTAATAAAGTTTTTTGGAGATTTTATCTCTTAGAATTTTGGCGAGCTGTGTAAGATGCTTGTTTTAAAATAACTTTTCCATTAATTGATCGGGTAGTTTCAGCGTAAGTTTTGATTTAATAAAAAACAGACCCATATTTGGGTTAAAAGTTTGGCAGCGAATTTCGAAAATCAATTTGCTCTATATAAATTTGGTGAAACTCTGAGAATTTTTGTTCTCTTCATTTTTGTGTCTAATTTTGACCCAATTTGAGAAAAAAGACTTTAAAATTCCACATTTTATTTGTTTCCGGTTAATGTTTAAAATTCCACATTTTATTTGTTTCCGATTAATGTCCGTATATGCTCGTCGTAGTTTTTTCTTCAGACAAAATTCACAAAACTCTGCTCCATCTGGGGATCAATCTATTGATCTGCCTGGGCCTAGAACAGTGTGGTCACTATCATAATAACCTGCCATTAATCAAACTCAACTGCTCGTTTCATAATTTACACGCGGCGAATTATCCCGCACTAGAAAATCGGCGCGCGCCGAAAAAACGCAATTTTTTGGTCAAAATTTTCCAAAAAGTGCCGAAAAAAACGCCTTTTTTGGACGGTTTTTTCAAAATTTTACCTGAGGCGTAGAAAGTTTGGCCAAAACAGGGACTAAAACGTGCTTAGGGAGAGCTCGAAAAATCAATTCGGTCGATCTAAAAAAAATGTCGACAAAATTTTCGACTATTTTTTGAAAATCCGCTCCCCCCTCTAGAAAATTCTAGATTCGCCCCTGCTCAGACCTCAGACTGTGTTAAAGCAGCTGTGTTCCTTCTTGGCCACGAAACAAAACAGAATTAGAAAAATTGGTATAATTATTCAAAGCAGGGGCGGATCTAGGATTTTTTCGGTCGACCAAATTGATTTTCCGAGCTCTTCTAAAGCACTGAAAAGTCCCTGTTTTGGCCAAGTTTTCTGCGCCGCAGGCAATTTTTTGAAAAAGAAAAAGCCGTTTTAGGCACTTTTTGAAAAATTTTGACAAAAAAATCGCCTATTTTTGGCGCGCGCTCCCCCTCAAAGCTAGTATATATTGGCGCCAAAGGTGCCTTTAGATAAAGTTTAGGGTCGGTCGGCAAAAAATGGATTTCCTAAAAATTACCAAAGGGGGGACCCTTTGGGTCGGCAGGGGGTCGAATCCCTGAAAGAGGGGGGGGGGTATATGCCGTCCGCCTCCCCCCGCCCCCTCCTAAATCCGCCCCTGATTCAAAGTAAAACTTACCGTTTCAAAGTAGACCTTTCAAAAGTAAAACATACCGAGAATAGTAAAAACACCTTTAAGATAAATAGCTGTGCGTAAATGCTTTATAACTCTGAACATAATTCGCTGCAGTAGTTGCTGTCTCTACAATTGATTGAGATTAATAGTTTTGCCTGCTAAAGCGTAAGCGTCACCATTATCAGGGGGCGGATCTAGGATTTTCTCGAGGGGGGGCGGATTTTCAAAAAAAATTCAAAAATTTTGACGACCTTTTTTTTTTCTAGGTCGACCAAATTGATTTTTCGAGCTCTCCCAAAGCACTGTTTTGCCCCTATTTTGGCAAAATTTTCTGCGCCGCAGGCAGATTTTTGAAAAATAGTCAAAAAAGCTGTTTTTGGGCACTTTTTGAAAAATTTTGACAAAAAAAATCGAGTTTTTTTTTGGCGCGCGCTCCCCTCAAAGTTAGTATATATTTAGAAAAACTTTAGGGTCGGTCGGCCAAAAATGGATTTCTGAAAAACTATCAAAGGGGGGACCCTTTGGGTCGGCAGAGGGTCGAATCTCTGAGAAAAGGGGCGTCCGCCCCCCCCCCCCTAAATCCGCCCCTGACCATTATGGTAAATCTGAGAAATGATGGTACTTAATAATTGGTTTGATTCAAGCGGTGCAGTTTTCTTATACATAAGAATTTACTCACGCAAACTAGTTGTTTATTAACTCCAAAATAGCCTTTTTAAGAAAAAGCATAGAATAGTTTTTCCTTACCTGGGCCTATCTCAGTATACGCACTTTCGAAGTACTTTCTCTTTCATGAGCCAGACATTTCAGTAATCATGTAGAAAAAATTCTTTTGAAGGCAATAATGCTGAGAGCATTTGAAGTGAATAATTATCAATAATTATCAGCAACCGACGTATTTTTTCAGTTTTACAACGGTTAAAAAGACTTCAGTCGTCAGAAGCTAAAAACACCAGAAACGTCGTCAAAAGCTTGTTTCGAAAACTATATTTTCGCTTCTGACGACTTTTTTCTGGCTACTATTTTTAGCCAGAAGACTTTTTTTTTAGTTCTGACGACTGAAGCAATTTTAGCCGTTACTATATCTGAGAAATATAAACATATTAAATTATGGAGGCACTTCAAGTGATTAAGTTTTAGCTCTGTAAGCAGAATGAAAAATAAGAAGAAAGACTAAGATAGAGATGAATTCGAGAACAAATTATACGCGATTGGAAAAATATTACCTCGAGGGGGTGGGAATTTTTTCTACAGGTGGATGGGCTTATTTTCCAAAAAGTTTCGAAAGTTTATTTATATAGATCGACCAAATTGATTTGGGTAGTTCTCACAGTTCACTAAAAACACCCTAGTTCTACCAATTTATCTGCAGCGCAGACAATTTTTGAAAAAACAGGCGAACAAAGGGGCGTTTTTAGGCACTTCTCGGAAAGTTTTGATAAAAAAATAGCGTTTTATTGTTGCGCGTTCCCCGCTCTAAATTAGTAAAAGTTAACGCCAAATGCGCCTTAGAAAAAAATTAGGGTCAGTCAGCTAAAACTGATGTCTTAAAAAAGTGCAAAGGGACCCTAAGTGTCGGCAGGTGTCAAGTCCCTGAAGGGGATGGGGAAGGGCTCCTCTTTTTTAGTACACAAGAAAGAATTGTCATCCGTTCAAAAAGCTAATTCAAAGGTTAAATTTTTGCGAATTTTGCACCTGGTAACGAATCCATCCAGTGGGGGAAGGGGTTGGGGAGTAGTTAACAGGAACCTTGAAAACTTTTGTTCTACCCCTGATGTTATTCTTCTCACCCCTCACCTCTCGTCAAATAGCTCAAACTCCTAATCACAATTCGTCTTTTACCAACAGCAAAAACGTTTAGCAGCTTGTGAGCCTGTTTTTGGGCGCTAAATTAGCTAAAACAATACTTTGTTCAACTTTACACTGAAAAAATTATTGTGATAAGGAACGAAAAAGAAAAAAAACTTGAATCGTACTGCAACTATTTTAAAATTACAACATTTGTGTATTATCTACTCACTGAAAAAGGGGTAGAAGATAAGAACTGTAAAAATGCGGTACGAAGTTTTCCTACTACGATTACTGATAAAAGAAGCGAATAGCAAAACTGCTCGTATAATGGCGAAACCTTGAATTTTTTGACCGCCTTTCAAAATCTATGGAGTAGCGTTCACTTTACAAAAAGTTTTCAAAAACAACTGAAACATTTTCAAACTTTTGAGATTATATCTTGAAAAACCCCACACGCTATGAAAAGAAAGAAATTTCATAGGATAGTTAGCATCCCTCAATTCATTTTGGAACGTTTTCTAACACAGTTTGAGTTCAAGAGAACAATACTTTTTCTGAGAACAGTTTTTCTGTCAAACATGGCTAGCTAAAAAGTCGAAATTAGCTTTTAAATTAAAAAATCAACCTAATCGCAAGAATTTATTCCATCATTTTCTTCGGAATTAGTCAGAATAATTAAACTTTTTTAGAAAGTATTTTTAACAGTTTTGTAAGGCTGCCTTCTTTTTATTTTTTTTATTCTACTATATGCCATTCAGCCTTGTGATTTTTCAAAAAATGAACATGTCTAATTTGAATTTTTTTTTATTGTTGTATGGAAAAATCTAAAAACGGAAATGCAGGTAATTAACGGTAAAAAATGTACTAAAATAATTGGGAATAAAGTTACTTTTTTAAAATGAACTTCGTCTACCTTTTTAATGTAATTTGAAATTTACTTCTACGAGCAGTCTTGCTATTAGTTTCTTCTATCACCATGAAACAAACAAAAACCCGAGGTCTAAGTAAATAACAATTTAACAATGAAGATAACGCGCGTCCAGTTTCAAGCAAAATAACCAATTGTATTTCAATTTCAGTGCCAGTCCGACAAAAATTGAGAAAAATTAAATTTTAATCAATTAAGAATTAATTACACAATTTTGAATTTGGATTCCAAAAAGCTGAAGAAAAGTGGTTTGAATATTACTGTTTTTCGGAATTATTTTTAGTAGGAGTTTCAAACCTTAGTAGGAGTTTAGTATATAGTCACTTCCAAACCTTTTCGAAGGGTTTACTTTGAACAATATCAAGGCTTACGCTATCTAATTTGTAGTTAATGTGATTTCATCGGTCTGCTCAAAAACTGCTCCTAAATTTTGTTTCTTTTCGTTTTGCGCTCATTTTGCTTATAAATTTTTCTTTTCAATTTCATTGCCATCTAAACAACTTACAATCCTTTTTCACTGTCCTCGCATCCAAGTTTAGGTTTTAATCAGTTTTGTCATAAATGATTTCAGACTTCTAAATGCGGATGCGAGTACAATCAAAAAGAATTGCAACGTTGTTTAGATGGCAACAAAATTGAAAGGAATAAATTAGAAGCAAAGTGGACACAAAATTAAACATACAAATGTTGAGGGAGATTTTTGAGCAAACCTATAATATCACCTTAACTCCAAAATAGAAAGCCTAAGCCTTGATATTGTTTAATGAAACTTTTCGAAAAGATTTGAAAGCGATTATTTTCTAGCCCCTACCAAAATTAAATCTGAAAAACAGTAATATTCAAACCAATTTTTTTCGATACTGATTTAATTTTGCATCTTTTTGGAATCCAAAATCCACTGAAAACAATTCTTTGGACATCATCTAATCATTTGACGTTAATTTGTTGTGCTTGAGCTAGCCTGAAATAAAATCATGAAAACCAGTTGTGTCACCACTACTTTAAGAACACAAATCAATTACGGTTTTAAAAGGTGAATTTTGTATGGATAATGAATGTTCTGCGGCGATATATTTGAGTTAGTGGCAGATTCAATTTAAAAAGCTGGATTGATCTTTGTTCTCTTCAAAAAGTGTTTATAATTAATTTCAATGCAAACTTTTTTGTAAAATATGAAGTTTGAATCAATTCTCACTGTAGAGTAATACTATTTCAAAATTTATCTCGGTATGATGTACAATTGATTAAAAATGAAATGATTTTATTTTGCATCATAGTTCAGGAACGTATTACATGCACTATACTCAAAATACACCGCCATCTATTCTAACGTAATCAACCGTTCTGCTTAGTAGACTATCTTCTTTCTTTTCTCTAAGAGCAGTTTTAATTATTTGCTAAAAATGCTTGCGGTTTTTATTTTAAAAGTTTGCTTGCGGTTTTTTTTACAGTTGCCTTTCAAATTGTGTACTTTGTTAAATAAAAAGTCTAAGAGATTCGTTTATGAATTCTAAAACTTTTTAGCATGAACAGAGAAAAGCAATCTCAATCCTCGAGAGCTCAACCTGGCTCCAAAACTTCCAGCTGCAGTAACCAAGTCCCTCCACATTCAAACAACAAGAGAAAGAGAAGAAGAGAGCAACAAAACTCGGAAAGCGAAGGTAAGATTTCTTTTTTAAATGCTTGACATAACGTAAATGATTAGCCTTCCCGGTTTCTGATTTTTGTCGCAAATGAAGACGGTCGAACGAAGACTATAGTCGAACAAAGTCAAATCATGGGTCAAACAGGGACGATATAGTCAAATAGAGTCAAATCACGAGTCCAATAGAGTCGAATCATGAGTCGAAAAGGGTCGAATCATGAGTCGAACAGGGTCGAACCATGAGTCGATCAGTGTCGAATCATGAGTCGACCAAAGTCGAAACATGGGTCGAGCGGGGTCGAAACACGAGTCGAATAGAGTCGAATCAGGAGTCGAAAAAGGTCGAATCATGAGTCGAACAGAGTCGAATCATGAGTAGAACAGGGTCGAGTCACGGGTCCAATTGTTCGAATCATGGGTCGAACGGGGTCGAATCATAGATCGAACGGGGTCGAATCATGAGTCGAACGGGTTAAATCATGGGTCGAATGGAGTCAAATCATGTGTCGAACGGTGTCGAATCATGGGTCGAATCATTGGTCGAACGGGAGTCTAATCATGGGTTGAACAGGGTCGAATCATAATCATGGGTCGAACGAGGTCGAATCATGGGTCGAATCATCGTTCGAACGGGAGTCAAATCATGGGTTTAACAAGGTCGAATAATAACCATGGGTCGAACAAGATCGAATCATGGGTCGAAGAGGGTCGAAACATGAGTCGAAAAGGGACAAATCGTGGGTCTAAAGGGGTCGAATCATGTGTCGAACAGGGTTGAATCATGGCTCGAACGGTGTCGAATGAGGCGTCGAACAAGGTCGAATCATGGGTCAAACGGGGTCGAATCTTGGGTTGAACCCGGTCAAATCAGGGTTCAAACGGAGTCGAATAATGAGTTGAACAGGGTCGAATCATGGGTTGAACGGGGTCGAATCATGAATCGCATCGGGTCGAACGATGAGCAGATTTGGAGAACATTTGAACTTTTGTCGGATTTTTCGCTTGCAAGACTGTAAACAGATACAAATTGCTAAAACTAATACGGTATATATGAGCCACCGGCAGCATTTTTTGATACTAAAAAATCTAACAAGGATTTTGCGCGGTTTTCTACAAATCTGCTCTGTGACAGAGCTTTTAGCATTGTCAACTGTTGAGTTGGCTATTATATGTTATGAGAATTTAGTTTCAAATGAGTAGTTCAAAAGATTATGCCATTCATGAAAATATATGATATTTCATGTGATTGCAGATTATGTTTTTGAAAATTGGATAAATTGAACTGTGCCTCAAACATTTAATTTCATGTGTTCGTAATTGCATAAAGTGGAAATTTCAGGTCGTTTAATCCTCATCTATGAAAAAGTGGAAGTCGAAAGTACTAAGGATACTCGGAGATCAAAGAGGAAGGCGCCCAAAAAAGTCGAGCAAAGTAAGTTGATGATCAATTAATTCAGTGACCGAATTTGACTGAGGTAAATTTTTATCTACAATTT